AAGAAGACCAACCAAATCTACAAACCAATTTTGCCACAGTAGGATGTATCGGAGGATTCCCAAGGCCTTGTGGCCGAGGTTGAACAGATAATCAGAGTGGTCTTAATATTGGACTGAATAAATGAAAAAATCGGATTCTTTCTCAATATCCGAGCCAAAGAGAATCAGGTTTCCTAAGGAGTCGACAACTGAGATTAAACCTAAAAAGAAAAAGAGCTCCTCGTCTTCTAATATACAGTCAAAGCCAAGCCATACCTAAAGTTGCTAAGAGAAGAAAACGGGACGATCTCCGCTATGCAGTATACGATGCCGGTAAACCAACAGACAAATTTCCTATAAACCTGCAGAATAAGTTACAAGATCTGGTCAACAATATGATAGTGGACCACACAATCGCTTCAAAGGGTAAACAACCAATAGAGGCGTGAGCTGCGAGTTTAGCATGGGCGTGGTGTTGATGAGGTTGACATCTCAGTTTTTCGAAAGACTGAACGTCCGTCTATCCAATGGGAATACCCATAATATGTTCAGATTTTAGAGGATCTACAATATATATCATTTTAAATAGTATTCAAGACAAGTGCGACATTTAGTTGTCCACAAACTATATCTCAAGGGGGAAATGTGTAACTACTGCCTGAACGTCAGTTCATTACATGACAACTTATTGTCTGGAATAGTAAATTACTAATTACTTAAATATTAAATCTATTACAAAATTATCCACAATTAAACAACATTTATTAGTTATTAGCTTTTAATTGCAATAATATTTAATTGAATATAATTACTAGCTATTAACTCAATTTAAAAATGTTACAACATTTTTTCCCCATAACAACAACAATCAATAGGGAGTGAGATGGAGTTAAACTCAAGTAATTACCATGAAACATATGTTAAAATCACAACAAAAAATCTTATTAAAACAAGCAGTTGTAAAATAAGTAAGTTAGAAAAAAAATCCAAAAACAATTATGAAATCATTATAACAAAAAACAAAACTACCACAACAACAAATGACACTTAAGACTGTCTAGAATGATGACTCCTCAGCTTGCCTTTTAACTCTTGCAGCCACTCCACTTTACATATCAATTACTTACTGGCAAACATTCCACAAATCTCATTTACGGCTACGGGTGTTTAACAATTTGATTTGTTAGAACAAGTAAAAGACTTAAACTCTTTCTAAATAGGGGAATGTATTGTTCTTGTGTTCTTTAGAGGACGAAAAGGAAACAACCCTTAGATTTTTTATTTCCAAAACCAACACAACATACAATTTTGAAAAGACAATTATACGGGTGTTGTTCAATTAAAAACAACAAAAAAAAAATAGATTGCAAGAAAAAAAAAACAATAAACCGTAAAGAAAAGAACATTTTACTTGTCTTTTGTTAAATATTAAGTAGAATAGAGATTTTTTAATCTAAATTTTAGATTTAAATGAAAGGGATGTTGATTGCTCTAAAAAAAGGGTGTAATATCATTTAACGACTTTGTTCTTGTTGTAGTTTTCTTACTCCTTTGTGTCGTTTTGCCTGTCATAAACGGAAATTATTTATTAAACCCGTAAAATTTAATAGAATTTTAAATCAAGTTAAATCAGTAAATTGGGAATTTGGTTAGTATTAGGATGGCTATAAGAAAATTTTTCAATTACAGCTAGAAGCAAACATCTATATAGTAGTGTAAAGTGAGCTTTCGGATGGGGTTTGTTCAGAAGAAATCTGTTTGCTTATCTAGTGTTTGAAAAATTTATTTAAATATAAAATTTCTGCGAACCTCCCTAATGTACATATGTTTTTTAATAATATTTATGTAAATACTTGGGGATTTAGTTGTAAATATAAAATTTTTAGTTTTTAGTATTTAATTTATAGTTCTATTGTCCCTTTCAGTTTAATTCAACAATATAAGCTTTACAGTTTAAGTATCAAATCTGAAATTTAAATTTCATACTCAACACACATGCAATATGTTTAGTTATTCTTATTTTTTTTGAAAATATTAATTTTTAAAAGAAATAGTTTTATTTGGGCTCAAGTTAATTTGGGCAATATATTTTGAGGCTTTCGACGACCTTCATCAGACATGTTTATGACTTTTTGGAAATATTGTTAGACACTCAAGTCTTTATAACCTACCGGTGACCATACTCCGGTTAGTTATTAGGTTATGTTAGTGTTCTAGTCTGGTAGACCAGAGGTCGTGGGTTCGTTTCCCAACTGAGGCACTACTACATTACTGTATTTAAATTCTCCCCTGAGCCCAGGAAGCTGACATATAGCCTGTACAGTAACCGATCGGTCAAAGTTAAATGCCAACTCTAATTTCGTTATGGCAAAGATCTTTTGAGGACAACAATTTGTAGTTGAATTTCGATAGACCTTTTTCGGGAGTTCTATTAAAGATCTAAGGTTTGTAGATAATTCAGAAATCATAGGAATATTTCGAGGAAATGTTTCAATAAAGTTCTTGAAAAATAATGTATAATTCTTTTGATGTTTGTAAATCCAGAAAATGTACGTCCGCCTGTCTGTCTGTCTGTATGTCTGTCTGCCAGTCTGTCAGTCTGTCTGTCTGTCTGTCTGTCTGTCTGCCTGCCTGTCTGTCTGTCTGTCTGTCTGTCTGTCTGTCTGTCTGTCTGTCTGTCTGTCTGCCTGTCTGTCTGTCCTTCTGCCCACATAAATCTTGTAATGAAACTACAGTTCGTATTTGTGAAGATAATACTATAATGACATTCTACATCCTCCGTAGAATATATAGATTCAGAATTCTATCTGAAAACATACATCAGTCCGCCTATCTGTCTATCCGCCCATCTGTCTGTATGTCTGTCCTTCGGTCATCGTTAATTTTGTTTTCAAATTTAGTGTGTGATGGTATTATGTACCAAGGACGATCCGGTGGATTAGTGATAAGTGTGCAAGATGTTAGACCGGAGGTAATGGATTACTGGGTTCCATTCCTATCAGAGACACTGGTAAAGTTGTACAAAACAGACTCGGTGGAGTTCTTCGGATTTGATATAACATACATCCCCCTTTGAACTAACTAAGGACGATCCAATGTTATGTATCTAACCAAGAGAATCTTTTCTCTAATGAGGCGCTGTAGAATATATAAATCCAGAATTCCATTTGAAAATACATCTCCATCCGTCCGTCCGCCTGTCTGTCTGACCGACCGTCTGTCCTTCCGTCAACGTAAATTATCAAATTGGTTGTATGATATTATTATGTATCAAGGACGATACGGTCGACTAGTGATTAGTGTGCAAGTTGTTAGACCGGAGGTAGTGGATTAGAGAGAGTGGTAAAATTGTGGAAAAAAGGCCTGGTGGATTTCTTCGGATTTGATATAACAAGCGTTCCAATACTATCTATTAAGAAGTAGTGAAGTCATAGTATACTTATACCGAATGCAACTGATTCGTTTGAAGGGTACATGACATTCTACATCCACGGTAGAATATATAAATTCAGAATTCCATTTGGAAACACATCTCCGTCCGTCTGTCTGACTGACTGTCTGTCCATCCGTCAACGTAAATGATCAAATTGAGTGTATTAGAATGCATGTTGTTAGACCGGTTCGATTCTAACCAGAGAGACTGGTAAAATTGCGAAAAAAAGGCCCGGTGGAGTTCTTGTGATATAACATACATTCCCCTTCAAACTAACTAACTAAGGGCGATTAAATGCTATGTATCTAACCAAAATATCCTTTCTATTAAGAAGTCGTATACTTATAACGAATGCAACTGATTCCTTTGAAGCGAGCATTTCAAAGATTTGAAAATGAAAATTTTCAAAGTGTTTTCCGGAAAGCTTTTAAAATTTTTAAAAGAAAACAGTTTCAAACAAAATTTTAAAATTATGATAAACATTTCCTTTACAAATTATGATTTTATAGAGAATTCTATAAGTTTTACAAAAAACAAAAACAGTTAAAATATATTTTTTCCAACAACATCCTTGAAAAGTCCAGAAAATTCTTAAGTAAAACTTTTACCCCTATAACAAATACAAAGAATTTTAAATATATTTTTTCCTCATTAATAATTAATTCATATAGAATTTCTTTAGCATCAATTTTAATGATAAAGTTAATATTTTATTATAAATAGCTTTGCTATATAATATAAACATTTTCTTAGAAAACAAAAAATAAAATCTACATAAGCAATATCTTTAAGCAACAATTTTTTGACAAACATCATCATCGTTGTCATGAATCAGAAAACAAAAAGTTAAAAAAAAACCTGATGATGATGATGAAAAATAACAGTGTGACATCTTGTTGACACACTGTTTGAATTTATAATGGTAACTGACTGGGGGTTACTACTATTTTTGGAACTTTACTTAACAGTTTTCTTCTGTTTTTTTTATACCGGGTTGTTATCACTTTTTGTTGTTATGAAACGAGAAAAAAAAAACAGAATTGTTGTTTTGCAGCAAATGGTGTAAAAACATAAAGAGGAAAAGTAAAAAAAGTGTTGTTTTATTTATATTTTAACGTTTTTTTTTTATTTTTTTACCTTAAAATAACCCAGTTTTTTAATACATTCATTATATAAACCATCAACCTACATAATATTTTGTTATAATATTATTTACTATATATAGAACACTACTACAATACGGAAGATGTAGCATTTTAAACTTGTCATCATGGTAACAACAACAACACAAAAAGGATAAAGAGCGTAGGAAAGGGAAAATGAAAGGAAAACAAATATAATTGTTAAAAAACGTGAACTAATAATGATAATTTTTAATGAGTTTTGAAATTAGCTTTTAAATTTTCTAAATTTAAATATTTAAGGTTTTCTGTTACGGGAAAGTGTGGCAAGTATTGTGTGGTAAATTAAAAATGAGGAACAAGGTTGTGGTGTCGGATATTGTAGTTGTAATAATTGATTATAACATTAAAATTTTCAAAAAATTGTTTAATTATTCATTAGTTTTTAAATAAATATACATGCTTACATTTTATCAGTTTTTCTTCAGATTCAAGATTTTTAAACAAAATATTGTAGAACTACGAACTTCTGCTAATATATAACTTCATGGGTAGACGATTTCTGAAAATATAAAGAAAATATTGTAATTGTTAATACAGATACTTTTTGTATAAATATTGAACTTAATCTATAAATTCTTAAATAAATTACTTTTATTACTTTTGAAATTTATCTATAATATTGACTGTTTAGAAGTGCTTATTATGACTTGGAAAACAAATATCACCTAGGCCTGACAAAAAAGTTTGAACACCAATAATTGTAGGACTTACTCTATGAATATATTTTTCTTCAGCAAAACCCTAATTTTCATGGACTAATAACAGATGAAAAACTATGATAGCTCAAAGCATTAAAGATCGTAAGTGAAGCCTTGTCAATCAGTAAAATTGACACTAAATACAAATACATAATACTGGCGATATTTAATGCTGTGTATTTAGTTTAACCAAAAGGATGCTATCTATTATGAGCAGTCTAGAACTGGCCAGACTACCGCTCCCTGTTTACTGAATGCGAATGCCACGCCCACATTATGCAAGCAGACATCAAAGCTTAATATTATATGTCAAACTATCTACTTTTTTGCCGATGACAGCAATATCTGCCATTCTTAAGCATTCAATTACAGGCCAATCCCTCTAGAGATTGGGGCAAATTAATGTCGAGTACTTTACGTCAACACGTTGGCCTATTACGTATATCGAATTTCTGGTCCAGCATACGTGCACTTTGCTCAAGACTTGAGCTATTTAATCTATGACCATTGCTGCTCCATTGCTTAACTTTCGAGATACAAAAACATCACTTCCGTTTACAACGACACAGATGGGATGGCCTCTGTTGAGTCGGCAACAGCACCTAGAGACATAACCGTTAGACCGAAGTACGAATCCATCATCCTTCGTTCTTATCACAGTGACACACTGTGGTAAATCTGGTATGAACAGAGTTTACTCTGAACATACCTGGACAAGGAAGGAAAATTCAATGCTATAGCATATATAAGATACCTTTCATCCATCAACATTCAACTCTGCACACTTCTCATTTATACGGGTATACAGACGGATGAGTTCCGTATACCCCTACATTCAGCCTGTAACATTAACAGCTACTCATTTCCAACGCTTATCCCGAAATATAGATTTCACCGTGCATCAGTCTTTTAACTGCAACTTACTCTTCCCGCGAATTTGGGTTTAAACCACGGCCACTACAAGGATCGCGAAGGAACCTCAACCAACTGACCAGCCAAGACAAGTCCTGAGGGCAACTGGCCACCTATAGTACCAGATTATGTGGTTCTCTAGTTCGGCCCCATGTCAAATCATTCCAAGTACTAGCCGAGGATTAAAATGACATCACCAGTTTATAGTACCGGCAGACTAGAGATACTGGTAGCACCTCTTTACCCCGGAATTGCAATACACCAAGGATCTTTCATCAAGGAACATGGCACGGGGGGATGGTTAAGAGATTGATCTCTGAATGAAGTCGTGTTAACGCAGTCGATTTTAAACGCCGCAAGACTTAATCTTGTTTTGTAACACATAAACGCGTGGCATGGCATTTATGGGTGGTGTAAATATTAAGGAATCGGAAACTCTAAATGTTCTGAGCATGAAAATACAGAGTGATGTCAACTGAACTAAACACAATTTTTAAAGTGTCGAAAGGAGCTTTCACTCCATCTGAATTCCTTTCGAAGTTTACATCAGTTATATCCGACCGACAATGGAAGACAACTTTCATATATGGGCCAGAGCACAACTCATTACAGGGAAATGTTCGTACGTGGAACAAACCATCTGCAGAAGTATTCCCCGCCACTTTCGATGTGAAAACATAAAAATCAAACAAACACGACTCCACCTATCCTCACCACCTATTTTCCTAGTTCCAACACAATGCACTTCATACGTAGCGATTATCCGCTGAGTGTAGGTCCAAGAAAAAAATAACATCAGACTAGACAATAAACTATTTAATAGACGAGTCAATAGACTAGATAAGGACAGAAGGCAATAGATTAGTCAGTAGATTAGTCAATAGGTTACTCAATAGACTAGACAGCAGATTAATCAATAATCTGTTTTCTAGTCAACAGAGTAGCCACTAGTTCAAGCAATAGACCAGTCAGATACCAATCAATATCCTCATCAATAAACTAGTTAATGGCCTAGAAAATGGTAATATGATTATATGAATCATCTATGGATATGTATGGAAATATGTCGGAAATATGCTCAATTCCTCCAATTTTCGGATAAGAACATATGAACATGAATCCTTGTATGGTCCTTATATAACTTTTTTTTAGCTGGGCTACTTAAAGTTCTTCCGTTGCTTGTCACTATTAATATCTGTCATACATTTAATCTTCATCTAAGTAGCTCACACTCTCTAGTCGTTCTTAATCAATCACAAAACTTTAACTCTTTTCTCTCACAAATACACAACACACACATCTACAAACCTTTCATAAGTTTTTCTCCTGAAAAAAATAGTCTTCATACTCCTGATAATAAACTAACTATAGTTGTTTTTATTGCATGAATATTTCGTTTTATTTGCAATTTTTTCATACAGAAAAAAATTTCTCTTACTAAAAATAAAGCATCTGTTATTTTTGAGATAAGTTTTCGTATGTTTTTACTCAATTCACTTTAAGGTTTAGTTGGTATTTTTTTTTTTTTGTTTCTCGTGCCAACTATAGAAAATCTTTTTCTACTCTACCTGTCTTTTGATGTAGACTAGTAACTTTTTCCAACTTGTTTACTTGCAACACACAGCAGTTGGAAAGGAAAAAGGAAAAGAAAAAGAGTAAAATTTTGTTGATATCTTCTATACATATTTGTCGTTGTTTTTTCTGCTACAGTTTTCACCCAAAAAGGAATTTCATTTTTCTTCTGCTAAAAACTTGTCGTATGAGAAAAGTCGGTATTTGTTAACATGAAAATATTTCATATTTTTTATATACTACTAGTACTTTCATTCTTTTTCGGAGAGTAAAAACAACTACCATAACTACCTGGGGAGTCTACTTACGAACGAGTATATGTCAAATTATGGGTTTTTGAGTTTGGGTAAGTGAATATGTATGTTTATGCATAAATAAAGACTATCTTTTGAATGACATGCTGTAGAAAAGTAGGTATATGTGAACTGGTTAAAGGATAGGTAACTGTTCCAAGATTTTATTTAAGATATAAAAGCCTCAAAAATGTAAGATTTTTCCACAAACTTCTTAAAATAGCAGCAGCTCCTTTTAATCCACCTAAACCTATTACATTCCTATATATTTTCTTTTCATGTCCTTAGTAAGTATGTTTAAATGTGTTATAACACATTTTATGTGTATTTTCTACGTTTCTTCGTTCTTTTTTTTTGACACAAATATTTTCCAAATACTTTAATATTTTTGTAGAAAAGAAATTCCAGTTTTTGTTGTTGCTTATTGTAGTCAATGTGCCACCTTCACCTTTTCTTTTCCTACGAAAGTGATGGCTTGGCTTCTCTATATAGTATTTGTATTCCTACTATAAGCAATAAAAGGTAAATATTTCCCCTCCCCCCCAAAAAAAAAATATACTAATAACAAACTATGCAAATTTTCTTTCATATTATTGTAAAGTTTAGTGAATTTTCGAAAATTCTGTTTGCATACACTCACACACATTCAAAAAAAAAAAATAAAAATAAAAGTGTACTGTTATTGGCTAAAGGAAAATATTATTAAACAGACAACTTTAATTTGGCATTCTAAAAATGAAAATCTATAGAATTTTGTCTACAAAAAAGGCTTAAATATTTACTGAAATTTTTTTGTATAAAATTTGTAAAATTCTTAAAAATGTAGTAGGTCTAGTGTAAATTATGCCTTGAGCTGAGTATTAATTAAAATTCCCCTTTTTATTTTTTGTTCAAGAATATTTGCATCACTTGTTATTGACATATTTTGTAACAAAAACATAAATTTTGTTGCATTTTACGTTGTTGTTTTTAGCTTCAAATTAAATTAATAACTAAGTAAGTGGTGAAAATGGTGGTAAAAACCACAAGTTGAGCTTAAAACTAAATATTTTTTTACCTTAAAGTGTGAGAAAGTTTGACAGATTTTGGTGGCAACCGTTAGAAGAGAAAAATTAAGTTTAAAATCAGTAAGAGTGCTATTGAAAAATTTTGCTATATGTAAGCAATTTATTGATGAAAAACTGATTTCCTGGAAGAGGTTTAATATTGATCGTTCATAACAAAATTTAGTTGAGGGATCTAGTGATTTAAGCCGAATATCATCGTAATCTAATACATCTAAGGATATTAACGACATTCAAGTCATTATCTTACGGGACTTAGTATGTTGGCTAGGATCAAATGTGGTCCGATTCTTAAGAAAATTCATTATATATTCTTAAGTAAAACGTAGTGAATACAGTTGTATGGGGGCTAGGTGAAATAATGGACCAAAAAAATTAACCAAAATCAATAGGGTTTATATTTGGGCAAATACAGTGTAATGTCCACTGAAATAAATACATTGTTCAAGTGTCGAAAGGGGCTTTCAACTGCCTCGGTTGTTAGTCATATTTCAATCCATCTGAATTCCTAACGAAGTATTTACGCCACTTATATTCAACCGATAATGGAAGACAACTTTCATATATGGGCCATAACAGGGAAAATTCATTCCACAGCCACATTGTTCGTATGTGGAACAAACTTCCTGCAGATGTATTACCCGCCAAATTCATTGCAAAAATATTTAAAACAAATGTTCCCAGACATGACTCCCTTTATTCACATAACCTATTTTCCTAGTTCTAACACAATCCACTTCATAAGTAGCGATCATCCCCTAAGAGCTGGTCCAAGAAAAAATAACATCACACTAGACAATAGACTACTTAATAGACAAGTCAATAGACTACGACATAGAACTGAACTAGAACTGAACTAGAACTGAACTAGAACTGAACTAGAACTGAACTAGAACTGAACTAGAACTGAACTAGAACTGAACTAGAACTGAACTAGAACTGAACTAGAACTGAACTAGA